GCTGCCCCAGGACACGATGCCCACCAGGGTCCAGGCTCCGTCCTTCTGGCAGACCAGGGGGCCGCCAGAGTCGCCCTGCAGGAGGAGAAAGGACCTGTTTACAAGCCTGAAGCGGGGTACCGGGGCCCCGGTGTGCCCTGACCTGCCCCCGCGCAGGTTCTGTGCAGACAAATGACAAGTGTGGGGGCAGAGACTGGGCAGGAGGCTCTCCGATCTGGGCCACGTGGCAGGCCCAGCTCTGTCGCCTACTCCTGGTGGGCCTGGGGCACGTGGCTGACACTCTCCCCCGGCTGGCTGGCTGGCGTGGGGGCCCCCAGCGCCACTGCCGCCCAGAGGGGTGGAGCGGACGCGGCAGAAGGGAGCAGCCCCCTGGCCCGCGCGGGGGCGGGGCCGGCGGGGGGAGGGGCCGGCGGGGGGCGGGGCCAGGCCTCACCATGCAGGACGACACGCCGCTGGCCCCCGCGCAGATCATCACGTCCGTGATCTTGCTGCCCCAGAACTTCTTGCAGTCGGCGTTGGACAGGAGGGGCAGGGCCGCCTGCTGCAGCTTGTCGGGGGTCTTGTTGGCTGGAGGGACACAGGGGGCGGGGGCGGGGGCGGGGGGGGCGGGGAGCGGAGGTCAGGAGCCCTCACCCAGCCGGCCCACCCCGGGGTGGAGGAGACCCTGCCTCCCCCCTGCCTGCTCCCAGTCCTTCCCCATCACCATGACCTCAGAAACGGAGCTCCCCACCTTCCCTCAGACCTAACAGTCCCTGCGGGACCCCTTCCTCTCCGATTCCACACCAGGCAGTGGTGACATGGCTTCCAGCACAGCTGTTCACGCGAGCCGTGCCCTGGCAGCCCGTGTGGTGGGCGGGGGGCACTGCCTCCCCTCCGGGGAAGGGGGCTGACGTCCTTTTCACGGGGCGCTGCTGGGGACCCGCCGCTCTGGGTGGCAGATGGGGGAGCACCGTCCTCCTGCTGCCCTTTCCTGGCCGCCTCCTTCCCGGTCAAGGACCAGAGGGTGAGCCGGGGCCTGGGCAGGAGCACCCGGGACTCTGGAGGAAGATCGTCAGCGGAGGGAGCAGCCGGGGGAGGGGAGACCCAGCCGGACTCTCAGGGCCCCGAACCACACCCGGACATCTGACTCCCGGCCCAGACTTCACGGCGAGCTTGACACAAGCGCCCGCCTCAAGTCTGGAGAGGAGTCCAGGCTGGAAACCCGACCGTGGGGACCTCGTTGCAACGAAGTGAGAGTGCCACCTGCTGGTACTTGGGCGTTTCTTCAGCAACTTCGTCTTCAAGTGTGCAGTATTTAAGCTCATCTTTATTCTTTCATTCTTTCATTAAGAGGGTTTTAAGTAAAGAAACGGAAAGGAGGGCCTGAAGGGCTCAGTTATTTAAGCATCCGACTTCGGCTCAGGTCATGATCTCACGGTTCATGGGTTTGAGCCCCACATCGGGCTCTGTGCTGACAGCCTGGGCCTGCTAAGGATTCTGTGTCTCCCTCGCTCTCTGCCCCGCCCCCACTCACCCTCTGTCTCAAAAATAAACATTTTTAAAAATGTTTAAAAAGAAAAAATGAAAGATATACGACTTGGAATTTGTGTGCTTGGAATTTAGACCATAAAAGCCGAATGAGTCTCCCTTCTGAAAAGCCCCTGCAAGGACACTCACAGTTATACCGGGTCTTGCCCCAGCCGGTGGTGGCGCAGAGGGAGCCGGCAGGGAAGCTGGTGTTGGCACTGGGCAGGCAGACGGGGGACGCGGTTGTTGAGAGGAGGGCCGGTGTGGCCAGCTTCAGCAGGGCGATGTCGTTGCGGCCCGAAACCTGGTCCCACAGTGGGTATTCAAACACCTGTGGAGACGCCATGGGGGCTGGGCAGTCCTCACGGGAGGATGGCCGATCTCATGGATGGGAGGGACCTCAGGCCAGGAGAGGGCTCCGTGCCAAGGGGCCCTTGTTGAGAGCGAACACAGATGGGGCCGCACGGACAAAATCTCTGGAAAGTGGTGGGAAAATGGCCCTTGACACGTTGGTGATATTTAGTTTTTTCTATTTTTGTGCTTTTCTACAATGAGCCAAACTTCAGTGTTTGAATAGGAGTCTTCTTACTTGGGAAAGAAGGGAAGAAGGCTCTGGTGGGTGAGGACTGAGCCGACTGGCTGGGGTCCTCTTTGCCCACACACCCTGCCCGCCACGGTCCTCACCCATCCCTGGCGCCCAGGGGCAGCCCTGCCATGGCCTTACCGCCCCACCCTCCTCAGCCGGCCTGCCTGGCGGTACCTCAGTGATCCTCAACACCTGGACAGCCTCCTCGTCAGAGCCGTGATCAGACACCCCAGCCACCACACGGTGGCTCTTCCTGGAGAGAGAGGAGGCAGCAGAGGGTACCCAGGGGAGGGAAGCCCTTTCTGGGCCCCTCACTCCCACGGGGACCTCTGGGCCTCAGTTGCCCCGTCTATAAAGTGGAGGCACAGGACTAAACCAGCTCTCGTGGAACAGGCTGGGGCCTGAGGTGGTGGAGGGCATGAGGGTGGGGATTTTCTCTAGGGGGGCGGCGGATAGCAGCAGCTTTGTCCCCACCTGCCATCTGTCTCAGACCCTTCCCGCCAGGCTTCATTCCCTGGAAGCCTAGTGGGTGGCCGGGCAGGGGTGGGAAAGGGCAAGGAGTGACCGTCATTCCCTGACAGCAGGGCGTCCCCACTGTCCCCACGCAGGCCTCACCTGACCCTGCAGTGGGCAGCAGTGACGACCCAGTGCTGGCTGATGAGGGAGCCCCCGCAGAAGTGGAAGCCGGAGCGAGTCTGGGGAGAGAGGTGACACAGTCAGCCTTCCCCCTCACGCCTGACCCCTCCCCGTCTAACCCACCTCTCCTCAGCTTCCCTCTCACCTGCAGGGACACCTGCCAGGGCCAGGAGCTGGGGACCGCATCCTCTCCATTGACGATCCGGGACAGGCCACTCAGCTCAGGGTGGATGGCAGGGACCCCGCAGCCTGGGGGCAGGGACACGGCAGCTGGTCAGCGGATGGTGTCCCAAGGGGGCCAGGGATAGAGCCTGGCACTTCCAGGCCTCTGGAACCTAGGTGGCAACCTAGCACCCAGAGCTTTGGCCAGTGCAGGGCAGCCGGCCCCTTGTCACCCAGCCAGCAGCTGCTCCAGGTGTCCTTGTGGAGGGTCCTTGAGGCTGAGGGCATCTGGAGTTGGGCGGGGCCTAGAGCCCGAAGGCTGGGTGTCCACTGTGTGTCCTGAGAGGAGCGTCCCTCCCCTGCTGACCCCAGGGTCCCGGGGCGTGGGGGCCGGGATGTCCTGCTGGAGTCGCTGTTGTTTCCAGGGCCCCTGGGTCTGCAGCAGGGGCAGGCTGGGGTCAGAGTTGCCCCGCTCAGGGCAGCATAGACCTGAGAGGCTGCCCACTTCCAGAGGACCGGGGGGCGGGGCCAAAGGGATGGGCGTGGGAGACATTCTTGAGGCACAGCTCCTAGGGCTCAGGGGCAGGTGTGGAGGAGCCCGGACGAACCCCGGCTTTTGAGCGGGTGGACAAGGCCAAAACGAGGCAGGTCCAGCCTGTCCGGTTGAGTCTGAGGGGCCCGACGGACCTCCAGGGGGAGGAGGAGTGGGGAGCCGAGGGGAGGCGCCCAGAGAGGCTGAGAGGGGTGGGCGGGGGGCCGGCCCCCGCGGACGGTTAGACGTGTGTGGACTTGGTCCTCCGGTTCCCAGCTTCTGGCGGTGGGGGCCGGGGAGTGGGAGAGGCTTGGTCCGGGGCTGCCGGGCCCACCGGAACCTTGCACTCACCAGAACTGCTGCCAAAGAGGAGGAAGCCAAGGACAACCGGGAGAAGGGCCATGGTGTTCCACTCAGGAGGTGGGATGGGGTCTGCCCGAAGGACCCCCGTTATATTCCCCTGGCCCACCAATTGCAACGCGCCTCGCCATCCCTCCCTTATCGTGAGTCCTTGGGTTCAGAAGCACCTGGCTCCTGCCCGGGCCTGGGAAAGAGTCGGCCCCGGGAGGCTGCTCCTGGGAAGGTTTCCTGGGACCACAGATGTGTGCAGCCAGCAGCAGGGCTCATCCCCCCCGGCGGCCCGCTCCCTGCCCACCCCCCGGGCCGCCGTGCCTGCCGGGCGGGGGCCCAGATCTCACATCATCTACCTGTGCCCTTCCTGGCCACTCTCTGGGGAGGAAGACTAAAGAGGGGCCTCTCTGGGGACCCTCTGGTACCTGACCCAGTGAAGACCCATGTTCGGGAGAAGGAGGACTCAGAGGCCCCAACACAGGAGACACCATCATCAGTGTGTCTTTTATTGGTTTATTGACTCTGTGGGAGCAGGTCAGCAGGGAGGTCACGGTGGGGCTGACGGCTCAGTTGGCTTCCAGGATCTGCTGTACCCAAGGCATGAGCTCGGTGACGCGGGCGTACACGCCGGGCCTAGAGGTGGAGCAGGTGTTGCTGCCCCAGGACACGATGCCCACCAGGGTCCAGGCTCCATCCTTCTGGCAGACCAGGGGGCCACCAGAGTCGCCCTGCAGGAGGAGAGAGAAAGGGGCTTGGATCTGGCCACCAGGTGCCCTGGGCCAGGGGCCCCTGGACATTGTTCCAGAGACCATTCCGGGGCCTCACGGCCAGTAGGCGCCCGGCACGTGCATATTGGAGGGATTATGAAAGAAGCTTCAGTAGCTCCGTCTGTGATCTGTGCCCCTGAACGTCTGGGCCATCAGCTGGGGTCCTATAATAGAGGCCCAATAAAGCTGGTTTGCTTGACAGGAAGGAAGCATGGGTGGTGCTGGCCTGGCTATGGAGCCACCGTGAGGGAGGGAGGGCTGCCCGATTCCTTCCAGAGCCCTCTGGGCCACTATATTCTGCTGCCCAGGTTGTACACTGCACTAATCCAGGGGATGGCATTTGTTCAGACATTGATGATGTCAATGGAATTTTGCAATATGGCAGTTTCGAGACCAGAGGCCCTTGCTCTGCATCCCTCTGTTGAGATCATCAGTTTTTACAACTGCTCAGGCAGGAATTCCAGAAAGAGCATGTCAAGCCTTCAAAAGAGGCCCTACGTGTTATTTCCATCTCCTCTCTCTGGCCGAGCCCCTTGGCCTGGGCTTTGGCCTGAATCCGCCCCATGCTGGGAGGGAAGGGGGTGCTGGGTGAGTCCAGTAGACCATACCATGCAGGAGGAAACGCCGCTAGCCCCAGCGCAGACCATGAGATTGGTGATCTTGCTGCCCCAGAACTTCTGGCATTCGGTGTTGGACAGGAGGGGCAGGACCGCCTGCTGCAGCCTGTCAGGGGTTTGGGCATCTAGAAGGGCAGGGCGGGGGGTCAGCACCTGCAGATGCCCGCTCGGCAGCCCCCACCTCCCACCCGCCCGGCTAGAGGTCACTCACTGGTGTGTTTGGTCAGGCCCCAGCCCGTGGTTGCACACAGGGTCCCAGCGGGAAAGCTGTCCTTGGCATTGGGCAGGCACACAGGGGACACAGTCTGGGAGAGGCGGGCAGGCGTGGCCAGCTTCAGCAGGGTAATGTCATTGTTGATGGTGAACATGTTGAACTTGGGGTTCTTGAAAACCTATGGGGAGGGCAGAGGCTGACACAGAGCTGAACCAGGGTCCCAGGCTCCCCCAAATCACCTCAGTGCTTCTCTCTGGACAATGCCTGTTCAACTTGGCAGGCCTTTCTGTGGCCCCAGGAGCCTGAGGCTGGGCCCAGGACCGAAGTGCAGACCTTGAACGCCCTGCTTTCTGCTCTGCCCCCTCACGGTGGACCACTGGGGAGGTCGAGAGCAGCAGGGGGTTTTCAGGGCTGCACGCTCCGGAGGGCCCACCCCACCTGGCCTCTGGGGGCCACCATACCTTGGCAATCTTCAGCACCTGGATGTCCTCAGCATCTGAGCCCTGGTCAAACTCTCCGGCCACGACCCGGTGGGTGGTTCTGGAGAGGGCCAGAGAAAGGAGGGGGTTCCTGCCGTGAGGTGCTGGGGCCGTGCGGGGGTGCCGGGTGCGTACGTGTGCACATATACCTTTGTGCATCTGCTCAAAGTTGTTGATCACAGAGACGGGAGCTCAAAATCTCAATAATTACCCCTGAAACAAACTGCCCTAGAGCCTGCTGTGTGTGTGTTTCCTTCCCAGTAACCTTTGGGAGACAAGCAGGACTTGGGTTTTCGACACAGTCCAAATAAGGAAACTGAGGAACGAGGAGTTAAAGGTCTGGCCCTCACCGCCGGGAGTCTTCCCCCACCAAGGGGTTTCCTGGGGACCCTGGGCCCTCACCTGACACCACAGTGGGCAGCAGTGACCACCCAGTCCTCGCTGATGAGGGAGCCCCCGCAGAAGTGGAAGCCGGTGCTGTCCTGGAGGAAGATGGAGAGGTCAGTGCTGGCTGGACACCAGCAGCCCCCAGCCGGACCCCAGTGTGTCCCCCACTCGTGCGCAGAAATCCCCCCTCACCTGCAGGGACACCTGCCAGGGCCAGGAGCCCGGGACAGCGTCCTCTCCATTGACGATCCTGGACAGGCCACTCAGCACAGGTTGGATGGCGGGGACCCCGCAGCCTGAGGGTGGGGGTATGAGGTGAGGGATGGAGGCCAAGGGCGTCCCGGGAACCCCCCAGGGACAACTCAATCTGACTTGTGCTTCAGCCCAGACAAGCCCAACAGGCTGGCGGGGAGGTGGTAGCCGCACTCAAGCACAGGCCGGAGGCTGGGCTCTGTGGGTTTGAACCCAGCCCCATCGCTGCCTCGCTTTACCATTCAGAAAAGCGTGTGCAGGCAAGGCAGGAACTTGCTGAGTTCCTGGCACATAGGAAGCACCAAGTGAACACAAGCTGTCAAGTGCTGGGCTCACGGGCCCCAAGGCGCCCACACCTGTCTGCTCACCATCTGAGTCTGTTGGGGAGCCACTAGCTGTTCAGAGTTTTCGCTGCCTCCGGACCCGTCCTCCCGAGCCCTTGCACTGGGTGTGAGGCCTCAGTCAGCCCCAGGAAGGCCCACCTCCCCCTGGGGGCCTCACACTGACTGGTCTGGCCCAATCCTCCCAGCATCCCCATTGTGGCGATGGGGCCGGTGAGGCTCAGAGGGGAGAGAGACCCGCTGGGGTCACACCACAGTGCTCGGCCGAACTGGGAGCAGGGACCCAGCTGCCCCTTCTGGCCTCGGGGGCTGGAGGGCAGCGGAAACATCCCTCCTGGCCTCTGCTTGCCCCGAACTCACCAAAGGCTGTGCCCAGGAGGGCGCAGCAGGAGAGGAGCCAGAGGAAGGCCATGGTGCCGTGGTCAAGGAGACATAGGGTCCCTGCCTTGGGAGCTCCCCATTATATCCCTGTGCACCAGGCTGTTATCGGAAAACCTTGAGGTGACAATCCCTTTCCTGGGCGTGTGCCCGAGTAGGCAGGATGTGCCAGAGCAGGCCTGGCATCAGGGCCTGGGATGGCAGCAGCTGCGGCCCATGGTTGAGCTTGGGTCTGGGTCAAGGGCGAAGGTGGGACCAAACAAGGTGGCCCTCGACCCACAGCCACAGGGAAGGGCTCAGGAAGCTTGGGCTTCCTCTTCTAGGCCCTGTTTCAGGAGGGCCAGGGCCAGGCCTGGCAGGGTTTGAGCCCCAGCCTATTGTCTCATAGACTGGAGAAACTTGGATAAGTAATTCATCTGGTCTGTTAGTTATTCAAAACCCCTGGGCAGGGGCTCTAGGGTGGCTCGGTCAGTCGAGCATCCGACTATTGATTTTGGCTCAGGTCACGATCCCAGGGTCATGGGATTGAGCCCCGCCTCAGGCTCTGTGCTCAGCACAGAGCCTGCTTAAGATTCTCTCTTTTCCTTCCCTCTGCACCCACCCCCCTAAAAACAAAACAAAAGAAAACAGAACAAAACAAAAACCTGAGCGGTGTGATCAAGTAGGGAGGACAAAGGGGCGTCTGGCCAGGGGGCTGAGGATGCTACCCCTGGTCTTGGGGGGTGGTCAAGAAGTCTCAGTGAAGGTTCCTTCTGTTCCACAGCTGGGGAGGTCACGTGGCCTGTGTGCAGTGCGGCTCAGAAGAGCAAGCCGCCCACTGCCTGTTCACGTGAGGCTGGGTCACTTAGTCCCCATGGGCTCCTGGAATGGAGCATGTGGCATCTGGGGCAAGACTGGACCCAGTGAGAGCTGGTAGAGGCTGGTCAGGCAGGAAATGGGGGCGTGGGGAGGCAGGCAGGAGGCCTGTTTCTGGCTTGGCCGACAGGGTGGGCAGTGGGGCCCTTTCTCAGCACCAGGGAAACTGGAAGAGGAGAAATCTGAAGGTGAGGCTGCCAGGCACAGCGAAGCCCCGTGAAACACACAAGGAAAATGGTATCTCAGGGCTGTTTTTAACTTCCATTGCATCGATGACCGTAGTGTGCTCCACGGCACACATTTCAGCACCAAACAGCTGTGGAGACTTGGGCAGGTTACCTGCCCTCTCTGGTTTTGTTTCTAAGCATGTAAAATGGGGGATGCTTATAGTGTGGATCCCACAGTATGAAAGGGCATGACCCATCTTGAGCCAGGACCAGGCCTAACACAAAATCATCCATACTCGCTGCTCCTCTGAACTCCTTCCTGCATTGCCTGTTGGTGCCCTTCCCACGTTCTAGAAGACTGTCCCATGACACCAAGGGATGGCCACACTATATCAGGTGGGAGGGCAAGGCACAAAATGGGTTGCAGGGGGCGGGGTGGCCCCTTCTGTGAGACCATGCTACCTAAGCAAGCCTGTTCTTCCTTACAACTCACGCTTACCAGGCCCAGGCCCCTAGTCAACTGGAACAAAAGAAAAGAAACAAATTTCTCCTGCTTTAGCAAGCTTCCATGGGGAGGAGTTGGAGAGTTTAAGTT